TTTTGATCTGACTCGCAGCCATGTGTAAACTCAAAAACCCTTTAATTCTGTGATTCATAGGCCTCCTCAGTCGCGCCTTGCGACAGGCACCAGTCGGCTGCAGCTGTTAATGTCTCTCAGCGAGAATTTATGTCTACATCCATGCCTCTCTCCTCCCGTCTCCTACTCAACCCATTAGAGGATTCCCCACCAAAGGTTCGCCGGAACGCCATGCATCAGAGCCGCGCTAATGAAAGGCATTATACATTACAAAGTGTTTGATTTAAGGATGATTTTCAGTCCGTCTTCTCCTTCGGTAGCGGCGAGAAATGGAAACCTTCCTGAAGATAAGCTCCGAATCCATCTGCGATATTCAAAGGTACATCAAAGGGGTTCAAATTGTGTATAGGGCTCGTCGTCGGTGTAGGAACCGCGAAGAAAGGTTTCTATCAGATGGGAAATTTCCATAACAGAGTGAGAGGCATGTGAGTTATTATGATCCCGGGATCAGTGGCAGCTTTGGCGATATGCAGTGGAGCACGCACAACGCTGCACGTTTAGGTGCTCAATTGTTGCGTCTCGCTGTCGCTGATCTGCCGCTGACACAAACATCGCTTCTGTCTATATACAGATATCCCGAATGTTCTTGAGCTGGAGGAGATAACCTTTTTGCATTTCCGCTTCCAGATAAATTTCCCCCCTTTGCGCTGCAACAGTAAACAAAAAGAAAACATACTTTCACTTTTTTTTTTTTTGCTGATGAAAGAGCAACTATTTTAATTTTGTTAAGAAATGGAGTAAAATATTCATGAATTTTCACTCCGCCTGCCAGTTTTAATAATTGGCAGGATGTCGTTTGCCACCTACACAAACCCCTAATACCTGACAGCTTGTAACCAGCAGCATTTAATCACAGCTGACAACTGATAATCCATGTCTCGGCACTGATGGATCATCAGCTTTTTTTTTTTTTTGTCTCCTTCTTCCTCGCCCTTTTAAAAAATTTCTTCTTTTTTTTTAATTTGTTTTTTTTTTTTGTCTTGATGCTAGACTCAGAGCTTGTTTGGGGCTGGGAGATGTGATAATTTAGTGTGAATTGCTTCTAAGAATCTCTTGGATCCCGTCCACGGGTGTTAGTTGTCACAGGGTTGAGTTTCTAGATTGCCTACAAAGGGATTCAGGAGGCTTGATCTAAATTTATAAGGACACTGCTGCAGTAACACCCACTTTGATGGCCGTCGCCGCGGCTATCGCTCGTCGTCCATATGGCGTGGCGCTGTGTGATGTGCTTCTCGTGTACAGCGTGTACTGAGATGTTTGTTTGTTTGTTTTCTTTCTGCAGGAAGATGCTCGAATTAAAGCTTTTTTTTTATGCTGAGAGGAGATAACTTGATTTTTTTTAGATAGCATGTTTGTAGGAATAATAATAAAAAAAGATTACAGCACATGCTGGTGGGTGTAAATAAATTGGTTTATTTGGTAATTTGATTTCCTGCATTATTTATAGTTGTCATGGCTGATGCATAATAAAAGGGAGAAAGATCCTGTTTGGTAGTTGAGCGGCAAAATAAAGTGGGCCGAAACAAATAGTATTCGCTTGTTTAACTCACACATATGAATGCTTGTCTTGCATTGCCTTGAGCAAGAGCAGTTCTCATCATGAGTCATTTTCAGTTCTGTAATAATGAAGTAGGAATGCCTGATTGCATACACATTTTCTTTTTTTTATTCTTCGACAAACAGCAGCAGCGTTCAGTGGATTAACCTGATGTATTTAGTTTGTTATGCGGTGGTCAAGGCCAGCAGGCCAGATTGTGCTCGAGATATTAGAAGAAGAAGAACGTGTGCTGCAGCCTGTGTTTTTTTTTTTCCTTCTGCGAATCGCCTCCAAACTGACTTTTACCCACCAACACAGCCGATTTCACGCCACCGCTCCCGTCGTTAACCTGCGCTTTGGTTTCCTCGCTAATTGCGATCGCTGCATACGTGTCAAGTCGAAACAATTAAAGTGAAATTTAATCCAACTGTCAGTATTTATGCATTCAGAGGTTGAATTTCACACTTGATCCGGTCCAAGAGAGAAAAAAAAAAACAGACCCGGTGCCATAACGTGACACAGTCTATAGAAAGCGGTGTTTAGAGCAAAGCTTTGGCACGTGAAGAATGAAGACGAAGGTTTTGTTAGAGGAACATCTTGGAAAACCACGATTTTTCTCTTTCAGGGGGGTATTTGAATGCTTTTATTGGATAGCAGCAGTGGAGAGAGACAGGAAAAAGAGAAGAGGGATGAATGGAGTAAATGTTCTCCAGCTGGGAATATGCAGCAGAATCACTCATGTTGACTTAGGAGGGATCGTCATCTGCAATTATTTAATATTAGACAAGAAAAAAAACCTGTATAGTCGATTGGTAGAGCACATCTTTAGCTGTGAAGTCTTGTTAAAAAGTTCTTTGTGTTGAACTCACTCCGACTGAATCGTCTCTGGTGTTTGGTTGACAGGCGTCTGGCCAAAAACTAAATAACTAACTCCCAAAACTCCCAGGGTGCACAGCAGTTTCCACAACCAGACGACAGGCCGCCAGGTTGCCGACGAGCGCGCCGGAAACGTGTCGGCGCTCAGACGGTGCACTTAACCCACAATCCACGCACACACACATTTCTCCAGCGCCGCTTTGAAGCAGCACTCGGAGATATCTCGCAATCTGCCGCGCCACATCAGTCCTTTCTGTTTGTTTAGCTTCAGAACGTCCTACATATGGCCACAGCTACTCCGTTAACAATCTGTTCCTCCTCGACAGCGCCGACTCCATTCTCCGAGTGTTTAATGCGCTTTAATCAGACGGAGAGTTACAGAAATGCTTCGTGTTCCTTCCAAGATATCATCAAACAGGAACAAGTGGAGATGATGCGTCTCCTTTACGTACAGTAGACCTGTGTGCCTTTGGATTACTCCGTTTAATTGCTTTTTTTAATTGCATCATTTCTCTCAGCTGCTAAGTGAGCCTCTTTTTTTTTTTTTCCTTTCTTTCTAATTGTAACTGTATGTGGCTGATCCTACCTATTTGTTCCGACAAATTAGCCGAGCTCGGCTGTGTCACGTCGAGCATCCTGTTTGGATTATCATATTATGGGAGCTGAGGGTGACGTCCTTATTAAACGTCTCGCTGTGAACGCCGATAAACTGCTTTTGTTGTTAAATGTTTACCCTCGCGAAAAGTATTTTATCAAAAACACGCTCTGCCGATACAATTAATCGTAAGGTAGCTTTGCTTTTTTTTTTTGTTAAATAAAAAAATGAAAGTTGCAATGGAAGTTGTGCTCAGGCTGATCGATCTAATATCTTGTTTTTGTTGAAGTTATTGCAGCTTTGACTTTTTTTTTTATTTTGGGACAAAAGCCAAGTTATGCAGAGTAACAGTTTAGAAAAACAGCTTAAAGAAAAGCACCAAAAGGAGATTCATCAGCACAAAGAAAACCTGTTGGGCTTGAACCACACTGTGGCTCTGCGATGAGTGCATCACAAGTTATGATTTCTTTTGTGGTTTTAATCATTTTATTTTAATGCCTTCAAAAATATTCCAGCGGGCGCAGTTGGTAGCACTGTTGCCTCGCAGCAAGAAGGTTGCCGGTTCGTGGGGGCACTGGGATCTTTCTGCGTGGAGTCTCCATGTTCTCTCCGTGCAGCGTGGGTTCTCTCCGGGTTCTCTGGCTTCCTCCCACACAGTCCAAAAACATGTTGAGGTTAACTGGTGATTCTAAATTGTCCGTAGGTGTGAATGTGAGTGTGCTTGGTTGTCTGTCTCTAAGTGTAGCCCTGTGATAGACTGGTGACCTGTCCAGGTGAACCTGCCTTCGCCCTAAGTCAGCTGGGACAGACTCCAGCCCCCCGTGACCCTAGTGAGGATTAAGGTGTATAGATGATGGATAGATGGAAAAATATTCCATGCTTAAATCAAATGCTTTATTTTACATTTACTGCAGTAGAACATCACTGCTCTCTGGTAGAGATGCACTGTTTACCATAACTTGAGCTGTTTGGTCGAGGCTCATAGTTGGAGCTAAGCAAAAGAAGAACTAGCGGTCCCCAACCACCGGGCCGTGGACCAGTGTCGGGCCGTGGGTCATTTGTTACCGGGCCGCACAGAAAGAATAAAAACGTTTTATTGGTGTATTTTATTTCCAGCGGAATCTGCAAGGTGTTTTATTTTGAAAAATGACGAGCTCGTCTTCCCGTCACTTCCATCTGTGCTCGTTTCGTTGTGCCCGGCCGCTAAACGAAGCCGTCAATCTAACCGCCGCCAAAATAAATAAACAAACAAACGTCTCAGGAGAGACTTGACAGAAGATGAACACATATTTCGCAATAAAAAGTACTTTTATTTATATATTAAACTTTTTAATACAAAAAAAAAAACGATTCTTTTTTGTTATGTGACCGGTCCGTACAAAAACGTCTTGCCTAAAACCGGTCCGTGGGGCAGAAAAGGTTGAAGACCGCCGTGTTAAAGGGTTAATATCGACCGCTCTAAATGTGTTGTGGTCCCGGCCCTGACTGGGATTGAAAATAATCCATGGAAAATGATTTGCTTTTGGAGAAGTCACTTCCCAAAAGAAAACACTTCATTACTAAGAGGTTGCCAAGCTCTTGCCAAATAAGCACTTACTGTACTTCAAGAGATAAATGACACAAAACCACAGCCAAACATTATAAAACAAATCTTTTCCATCAATCACAATCAGGTTGGTATCCTCCGGTTCACTCGCGCTGCCGCTCGGCCCTTTTAAACAAGATTTATGCCTCCGTGTGCATAAATCCATGGCGGAGTGAAAAGTGATGCATACACAAAGGCTTGATGATAATGCTCTCCTCACGCTGATATTATGAGGGACAAGTTCTTACCGCGTGCACGCATTAGACACATTTACAGCTCGAGTCGACACCTAATCAGCCAGTGAGATCAGATAAAGTTCAGCGGTCTAAAGGATCCTGAATGTCTTCTTTTATTTTCTGTGCCCTCAGGTGATCCAGACCATCAGCGCCGTGGATAAAGACGAACCTCCGAACGGCCACGGCTTCTATTTCGCCCTGGCTGCACCTGTTGCCGGAAACCTCAACTTCACTCTGCGAGATAATAAAGGTGCGACAACCTCCTCTGTTATTCTTTGATATTGCATTCCGGCTGCTCGGTTTTACTGCTTATTTGTGTTCGTGTGGAAGCGTCTCGGGGTATCTGCGGGTCTGGAGAAGTCTCTCCGAAAGGTGTCTAAATTTAAAGTGTCAAATTGAATTTGCAAAGTCAAACGAAGCTGTTATGAAACGTTAATGCTTCTAACTGTGAATTCTACTTAAATAAATGTACTGTAAGATTGATTTCACAGTGGATGCTGCTACATACGGTGGTTCGTTCCTGTTTTTTTTGTCGGCGCTCTGGTCAACACCACCTATTCCTATTTTTTGATTTATTTTGCCTTCCGTCTCCCGCCGCCTCCTATTTTTTTATATTTAGTTTGAATCTTAGTGTGCACTGGCCTCCAAATTTCATTTCTAAGCATGTGTGGCACACTATCGATTGCATTCGACTTGTATTAAAACCGCTATTTGAATAAGGTTATGGACTGATTGACTCTCTCAGACATCGTCACTGTTGCCAGCTTGTGTAAGATCATGAGCTCATCGTGGTAAAGAGTCTATTTTACCAGAAATAGACTCTTTTTTTCTTCAGTTAATCCCTTCATCCATTTTCTCCTGCTTGTTCAGGTCCACGTCGCATTAATAAAACTAATAATATCATCAGGAATTACTCTTACACACTGCTGAGTAGTAGTAGAAATGGGTTTTAATAAATAATTCTAGGTAAGGCTGCACAGTTGCTTGAATGTTAATCATGATTTTTGGCCAAAAAAGACATTAATGACTGCGATATTAAACAAAATGTATGTTCTGCTTGTAGAAAACTCGGCACAAACTCCATTCGAATCTGCCATTAGTAATTTCGGGTCATGCATCTGTCTCAATGCTGCAGTAACTTAATAGGGAGACTAGAGGCTTCTCTGTGCATAGCCGAGTAGCTAGCGTCTGATGTAGCCTGCATATGAGACGTTTATGGACCATTGGTAAAGTAGATATTAAGCAAGTACGACATTTTAGGTATAAGTTCATTCAAACTTTGCCTCTACAATCTACACAGGTGGAGAAGACTCTTATTTTAAGTCTTATTTTGATGCAAAGATGTGCACATTAGCAGGAATGTAGCACAACTTAAAGTGGAATCAGTGCTCTGTTTATTCAAATATCGTTAGCCTCATAGCATACTTGCCTAAGTCATATTTTCATGTTTTTTGGGAAATGAGAAAAAACACAATTTTTAGAAATTACGTTGGTATTTATTATTGATTTTTTTAACAGTACATTCAACCAGATGTGATTGGCCAATGACATAGGTAGAAAGACAGGATGTTGCAGAAGTGATAGGAGAGTAAAGTTAGGCAAATATCTCAATTTGACCAAAAAATGACTTAGGCAACTATGCTATGAGGCTAACGATATGCAAATGCAATAAAAATATTTGGTTCCCAAAATTAGATATTAATCATGATAAGTAATTATGATGCCAAAACTGATCAAAAATAATAATTATTAGAATTTTGGCCATCATCATGCAGCCATTCTACACCATGCTGGCGTACGTTGGACGGTACGATGGTGACATATCTTTTAAATTTCCTGTCAAAAAGGTGTTAGTCAGTCATTTAAAGTTATACTAAATCTCTCCTCCCTTGTCAAACCTTCAACTCTCAGATCAGGCCTGTTGCATGGGGCTGCTAAATCAAAAACCTCCCTTGAGAAAATTGCCAGTGGCCTTCTTCTGACTGTAAAAAGGTGTTGGTCAAGTTAGGCACGGTCTATTTGCTGCTTACTTCCTTCCGAATTGAGCCTGGCAGCAATGCAATTGACACTTTGGCCATTGCTCACTCCAGCTCTCTATACCCAAACTGCATCTGGCCACAATCCACTGTGCAATCTGACTCGGGAGGAGAAGTACAGAGTAAGTGGTGCCTCCCGGCGTGCCCGGCCCTGCCAAATGAAACCATAATTCTGCTATGACAATGCCCCCTCTACCCCCTTTTTTTGTGTGTGTAATTGTTCATCAAAACTGAATGCAAAAACAAACTTTCCCGTGCAACTGGAGCACATCGGAGATAACCCAGTTTGCGGCACGGTTCGGCTTGGCACAGCCTCTGTGTAATGAAGGCTTTCTATACATCACAGGATGACTTTAACCTTAACACGCAAGATGAAAACTGCTTTTATACCATAATGATTCGCTAACCACCTACATGCAAAAACAGTGGGCGGATTAAGAAAATGATCTTCTCCTATAGGAAAACTTAAGTGTTAATTTGCATATAGCTCTGAAGACACATGAGAGTTGTGCCTGACTCCATCATTATTTACTTACACGAATCCCCACTGCTTTGAAAAGGAAAGAAAAGGAAAAAAACATGTGCAACGCCGATACACTCTGCGAGGTGGGTGATGCCCTGTGTTGAGTGTTTTGTTCGCATGTGTGGGAGCTGGGATATGGCCGCCACGTTACCTTTCGCAGGGAGCAGCAGCCAGGTTGTGCCACGATAATCCGTGCGAGTGCAGACGCGAGTTACATGTTGAACTGGATGTTTGAGGTAACCTTTTAGCAGATTAGCAGGGAGACTTGGCTGGAAGACGGGCTTCTGAAAGCTGTGCTGAAGAAAAGGTTGTGTGTACTGTTAGTGTTCTTCCTCTATTCCCTGAGATGAGGAGATATACGTACATGTATGCAAATGTTGTAACCACAGAACTCGTGTTGTTATTTAAGGTTCAATGTGGAGTTCACTTGGCTGTGAGGAACTGAACTTCACCCAGGACCTGAGTTAGACTCCGAGATGTAGTGCAAATTTTAAGCAAATTAGTAGCCTCTATTATGTTATTCCTCAAGATTTAAATCACAAATTAGTTATTTTCACACTACAAAATGCATTATTGTTGTCTAAGAGTACAGTAGGACGCTAAGTTTTCTCTATATGTGAATCTATGAGACCTATAAGCAAAATACGTCTGGGATTATTTCTCCGACTTCGCATCCGCTCTTCGACAATGTTATTATATCGCCGCCCTTTTTGACCACAGATGCTTCTTAATTGATGCTCATCATGCCGCTGCCGGGGTCTGTTCAGGTTGACTGCATTCCAGATTAGGTCTAATTGTTCTCTTGTCTATTTGGTCTTGCTGTGTTTCCTTCACATGGAAATAAATCCACGCATATTGGGTCCGGGTGCGTTTTCCATGATTTTGGATGAGGTCCATCGTTTAGGACCTGTGAGGACCTCTAGTTCTAGACCTTAAGTGTAAAATCTTTCAGGTAATTGGTAATTAAACTGTTGGGATGTTGGAGAAGGATCCAGTTTTTGTTAATAGAATGCTGGTCTAGGAGCGAGCACAGATATTTGTTATTGGGCCAAGTTGTGCCCGTTCTGTTCCAGTCTGATTTAGGGTTTACATTCAACAGGTAAAATCACACAGTGTGCCATATTCCCCATCTTAAATCTTCAGGTCCGGTAGCTGCCAGTCGGTCTCTTTAAGATCCTTTTAAACCTTGTTCCGCATCTCCGACCACTGCGATAACTCCTGCGTCAGCAGAGGAAGACATCCTGCTAAATAAATAGCTTTACCTGATGCTGGCATGGGTTCACAAAGTTAACTCACCTCCACGTCCCTCTGTACGCTCTGCAGTCTATTCGGGAACTCTTCATCCAGGATCTCAGCCAAACTCTGATCTTTTCTCCTCCTTCTTTTGGCCTCTGGGTATATGGAGAGTACAAGATGCCCTGTTGCCGTCCGTGTTGTTTTGGTACAAGAATACATGAGAATGGACAATCTCTTGGGCTTCGTCGGGGTCACCTACCACCACAACTTCCAGTCTTCTGTAGAAGTGTGTTGGAAGGTGTAGGCTCTTTCTTGGCTGACAAAAATCCTTGAAAGTTGGTGGAAACGGTCTATGTGTGGTTTGTCCAGCCTTTGTAGGGTTCAGCTAGTCTTCAATTGGTGCTGAAGCTTAAGGTTATGCAACGAGAACTGTTCAAATTAACCCAAGAGGATCCTAATTTGTAACGACCTGGGTTAAAGGAAACATGAGTGTACGAAACCAGGTAGTAAAGAAGTGATTTACCCAATGGGGTGTGGACGAACTTTACCAGTCTGCACAAAGCCCTGGTTTCAACCCCTTCCAACCTCATCCCCCCAAAAATCAAACCTCACTTATGTGTCTGCGGTTGAAAGGGAGCAAATTTCTGCAGCCTGATTCCCAAATCTTGCAGAAGAGGCTGTTAAAGCGGCATAATAATTATCAGGGGTTGGGGTCAACAGTCACGTATTGGCGTAACAATTGGGTTCGCACTTAATTTGCCGTGTAGTTTAATGCTTTCGCTTTACTTGTGCGTGCTTTCTGCCTTGCTGCACACACATATCCCTGGAGGAAGAATAAAAGACACAACCGCATGTTTCGCATTCAGTACCAGAACATTTTTATTTAACATTTTTTTACTTGTTTTTTTTTTTTTCTTTCTCGCCTCAACCCATCACAGTTGTTACCAACCGGCCGCGTGTTTTTCTTCATCCATGAGAATGTTTTTCTGATTTTACTAAAGTGGCATTTACACGAAAGCCCCACTGTATATTAATTTTTTTTATTTTTTCTTACCTTGTTCTTAGACTTCTGAAAGCAATCTGAATATCCCTCAGACAAACAAAGGAGTTGTCCTTCAAGGCGAAATCTACATTTCAATCGTGACTGCTCAATTTAAAAGTACATTTCAGTCTATTGATATAGTTGTCATGGAATGGCTTTTCTTTTTTTTTTTTTTAAAGCTGCTGTAATGGCACATTGTTCCCTCCTGGCTGCCTTTTTTTTTTTTCTCTCTCTCTCATACATGGAAATTTCATACAAGACTTTACCATCAAACCAAAGCTGTTATTAGCCAACAGGTGGTCATGACCAGGGAGAGACGCCACAGTGTGTCATATAATGAATCGTGTTAATGACACCATCTGTTGGCGTTCCTGCTTTTTAATACTGTAAAATCATTTCAAACTGCACAACCAAAGCACAGCAATCATTACAGAATGGAAGCCAAGCCTCCTGCTAGCCATATATTTGCAATTCATTGTTCATTTGAAGCTGATAAACTTGATATGCAAATTAAATGCAGCTTCTTTTTTTTTTCTTTCCCCTAGAAGTCTAACTGATATGATGCTTTCACTCAACAGATAACACGGCGTCCATATTGACAAAGCGAGGCGGCTTCAGGAGGCGGGAGCAGCCCGTGTACCGACTGCCCGTGTTGATTGTGGACAGCGGGAGTCCTGCCCTCAGCAGCACCAACACGCTCTCGGTGCGCGTTTGCGACTGTGACTCTGACGGCGTGGCCTTGTCTTGTGGAGCTGTGGCCTACACATCGACGGGCCTGAGCACCGGCGCCCTCCTGGCTATTTTGGGCTGCATCATCACACTTCTGGGTAAGACCTACGCGACCTCGGTGTCAGAGATGGAAGTCCGTGTAACTAGTACTTGTTTTTTTTTTTTCCTTGTAGCTGAAGGTGTGAAGCTCAGAGTGGATTGTGTTGGTATTGCTTTTAACAACCTGAGTTTTATTTGATCTATTCCCATCCGTGCATTTCGTTCAACGGTTTAATTATAGTCACCCACCAACGTCACCGGGAGTTTGTTTACAACTTGTCTAAACATAGTTGTGTTTGCCTCGCAGGCAGAAAGAAGCGTTAAGATCCTATAGTGGCAAGTTGGAAGTGTCAAAATTCAAAATGTCACACATTATCATGCAGAAAGATGGCCCTCATCACTCCTAAGGTATCGGTTAATTATTATTGATGCATTAATGATGTATTTTATATACAAATGGGCAGTTAAGAACATTTAACCTACCATCACTTGTGGCTTAAGCGGTGAACTACTGTACGCAGTGTGGCATTTATCTCTGTAGGTCAGTGGAGTACGAATGTGAAATAGTGTGTAATGATAATATTCAAGTAAAGTTTAAGCACCTCTAAATTAAGCGCGGCGCTCGACTGAATGTACTCGACTCAACAACCGGCCTATTTAAGCAAATGCCTCACGTCTTCAGATTCCAGCACTTAAGGAACAACCGAAAGAACGTGACCTCAGCTCATTACGAGAACTTTATTCAAAATTTAATTCCGATGCAATTAGCAGCAGATAAGGTGGAAGGCAGAAAGAGTGGCGCCAAGTAAATGCTAAGACCTTGTCCAGAAGCAGGTCTGCAACAACAAAAAAGAAAACAAGCAGCGGTATCGGCAGCTAATAGCTCGTGATGCTGCACAAACAGTGGAGCCAAGACATCGGCTGTCACTGTAGATATTAGCGCGGGTGGCAAATATTTGGCTTCGGCGGAGTGAAGCGCTGATACCCCGGAACTCAACGAAGAGCAAACCTTTGAGGAAGACTTGCTGCAGTCCCTGAGCTGTGAACTTCAGCTTGAAAATGCGCGTTTGCGGCCAAGCTGCTTAGGCCTAATTGCAAATATGACGAATGACAAACGAACCAAATCACTGAATGTAAGAAAGCAGCAGTAAAAAAAAAAAAAAAAAAAAAAGCACCACAAAAACATTGTTTTGCCTCTAAACAAATAAAAAAAGACTCTGAAATTCTCCTTGTTGGATTGTTTGTGTGTGAATAAGGCTGCAGCTCATGGTTATTTTCTCTCAAATTATCAATCAATCAGTCATTTAAACTGAAACATGACACCATCCAACAGGAAAAGCTGCCATTTCTTGCTGTCTTATGATCTGCAAGTTTTCTGCAGCAGACTTCACGTGGTAAGAAAATGAGAACTGAAGGAGCAGCATCGCTCACAGGGACTCACATTAGCAATTCTAATTGATAAAACATATAGAGATGAATTCAGATGATGCTACAGTATAGCCTGATGTGTACCAGATCAGACGTCTGACTGTCCATCAGATCAATAGGATCAATAAGCCTGTGTCTGCAGCGCGGCCAGACATTTTTAAAGACTAAAGAATACACACATATCAAAATGACATCTATCCTCATCATATTACAATTCAATATTTTTTTTTCTAACGATGTTTTCACAGAGGAGGAACAAATCTGAGATGAGAACATTTAAAAAAGATGCTCCCCTGCTGTCCTGCACAAAAGACAAACCTCCTCCTTATCTGCCCCCCTCTGCTCTTATAATAATTTAGTCTCTTAGCAAATCTTAAAAGTGGGCACCGACAGCTTATATAGACTTGGTAGTTGTCTGGCAAACCTTCCACCGTTCGTCGTGTTGAGTTGCGGTGGGCATATATTTAAGCTAACAACCCTTGCAGTTCAGATTTAAGTTCAAATTTAAGTGGAGGTAATGCAGATTTACAGTCGTGCACTCCGAACCGCAGCACACCTCAGTATTTACAGCACATTCAGACTTATCTCCGCTGTTATGCATTCTTCGGGCAGTTCAGAGTGTGCGAGAGAAGTCTTGCTAAAATAGAGTTGCATCTTGAGGTCTTGCACAGGTCAAACCTGGGGGGAGATATCTTCCCCTCATATTTTCTCTTTGGTAAATATACATGACCTCGGTCAGCGAGCTCTGAATAGCAGCCGGGATGTTTACAAGTAAAATGCCACTGAAATCCTGCCAACAGGATCAATTAGCTAGCATCCGTTCACTGGGTTTTTACTGGGATTCTGGAGTATTTTTATTTTGCCTGAATACTTTGCTGAGCCCATCGGATGGTTACATTTATTCTGTGGATTTGTTTTTGTTTATTTTTTTTTTCCCGAAACCAAACCGAAATCTGGATAAAATGTGTACAGCGTCCACAAGACGTATTCCACCTTCATCGAACCATTGTTCATATGATTTTAGAGTTTACAAAAAAGATTCTCTTACGTCAAAGTGAAAGCAGATTTCTTTAAAGTCATGTCAGTTCATTAAAAATCTAAAAGTATTCACCCACGTCATTTATTGGATGCACATTTGGCTACAATTAAAGAAGTGAGCCTGTGTGGGTAGATCTCTATCAGCATTGCACATCTGGAAATTTTATTCCACTCTTCTTTGCAAAGTTGCTCAAGATCTGTGAGTAGAGATCGTCAGTGAACAGCCCTTTCAAGCCCTTAGTTAGATTGAGGTCTCGGACTAAACCATTAGCTTTAGCTGCTTTGGCTACCAAAGAAGAGATACAAGGACTAGCTGAAGAAGTCCCACAGCACCGGCCACATAGACGTGGTCTACTCTTGTGGCCGACCGCGTGGCCTGGTGTCGTACTGTCCACCAGGTTGTCTCCTCCTCTGACCTAAGGGACAAACGACGCAGGAGGAAGAACCGCGAGGCCACAGCAGCAACAAACCCAGACCAGACCTTCAACTGCAGCTGGATCTGTCTGTCCCTCTGTCGACGTGGACCAACTCTTCTTAGATGTTCGTTCGTGAAGCAACCTATTGGCGTGACGTTTCGAACAAAATGCTCTTGCTCAGACTGCTGTTTTTGGTGTGCGGATCGTTCTTCTCTTCTTTTCTCATTTTTGACATTTTGTGATCCAGCACCCAACCCAGTGGGCTTCGGGGATGTGCGTGCCTTTCCTTCTTTAGACGTTCGTGAAGCAACGCCAACAAAAAAACGCTTTGGGTCATTATCTTGCTCGAAGCCGAATCTTCCCTCAAGTTGCAGTTTCCTTGCAGGCTGCATCAGGTTGTCCCTCTGGTTTTTCCCATATTTTGCTGCATTCATTTCACCCTCTACCCTTACATCCCCACATCATGATGCTGCCACCTCCATGCCTCATAGTGTGACTGGTGTGTTTGGGATGATGTGCAGTGTAACATAGCGTTTAGTCAGATGGCCAAGAAGTCTCATCAGACCTTCTTCCAGTTGACTTCAGAGTGACTACTGGTAAACTCTAGTTGAGATTTAATATGAGCTTTTTTCAACAGTGGCTCACTTTTTGCAGCTTTACCATCAAGCTGTCATTGGAGAAGACAGTTGCTGTATGCGCAGTCTCTCCCATCTTCACCACTGAGGCTTGTAACTCCATCAGAGGACTCATAGGTGTCTTGGTGACCTCCCTTCACTGGTCTCTTTCTTGCACAGTCTCTCAGTTTTTAAGGATGGCCTCCTCTTGGCAGATTTACACATGTGGCATATTCCTTCCATTTCCTAATGATGGCTTTAACTGCGCTCTCGGGGATATTCAGCGACTTGGAAATGTTCTTGTATCCGTCCCCTGACCTATGCTTTTCAATAACCTTTTCATTGAGTTGTTTGGAGTGTTCTTTTGTCTTTATGGTGTAGTTATAGCCAGCAGCACTGAATCACCAGCGCCTGGACCTTCCAGATACAGGTGTCTTTATACTGCAATCACTTGAGACACATCCCCTGTCCTCAGATGATCTCCATTCCACTAACTGTGTGACTTTTAACACCTTTTGGCTGCACCTGCGTTGAATTAGATGAGTCTCTTGAAATGGGATGAATACTTAAGCAGTCAATTATTTTACATTTTACATTTTTAATTAATTGACATTACTTTGCAGAAATCTGTTTTTACTTTGTCATAAAAGAGTCTTTTTTTTTTTTTTGTAAATCCTTGTTCAAAAAGCCAAATTAAAATGACTATAATTCAATGTTGAAAAGCAATAAAAGGGGAGAACATCCAAGGGGAGCGAATCATTTTTTTATAGGCACTGTGCGGTCACCTTGACTTCATGTTCAGTAATTAACTTGTCCAGCTGTGATGGCATTACTGTATATTTAACATCTGTTTTTTGATATTTAATACAAATACATCCGCTTGATTGGGCACAAAAACAAACACGAGGATGTGACTGATTCCGTTGTTAAAGTAGGGTTTTTACAACCCTCTTTTGCTAGTTATGATTATTTGTCATTTATACGGCAGCCAGGCCCTCCTGATTTGGAGCACTAAAAAATAAAGTGTGATAATGTGCATTTTCCTTGACAGAAGGCGATGCCTCAAGGCAGAGTGAGTCAGTGATGAGATTTTAGATTTTAAATCGTTGTCTAAGGGAAGTCTCACGATGGCTTCCCCCAGGTACGTGTCAGTATATTTTATTAACTTAATAATAATTCAAGAAGGTCACGGAGACAAGTCATGTATAGAATATTGCATTTCAAGGACGCCGTGCTTCTGTTTTTGTGTAACACCATATGTTAAGTAAAGACACTTGTAAATGAGAATTCATTAGCATACCCTTAAAGATGATGCAGCAGTGAGCCATCACCTCGAGGCTGCATTATTGCTCATAAAACCCACAGACAAAGCGTTACCCCCATCAGGGAAAGTCATAGTTTAACGCTTAGGTGATCTTCATTGAAAGCTGGGGAGGTTCTAAACAGCATATACAATAACCGAAATGAGATCTTTGATGGGGTCAAACTTTGCTTTTCATTCTGGTCCCCTTGAAGTCTGCCTTCTTTTCATTGCGACAGAATACTTCTTGTGATAAATGAAAA